CTCAAGTGAGTCTCCTGCCTCAGCCTCCCAAGTAGCTGGGACCACAGGTGCCCGCCACAAGGCCTGGCTATTTTTGGTTGCAGCCCATCATTGTTGCTTGGCGGGCCCAGGCTGGATTGGAACCTGCCACCTTAGTTGTATGTGGCTGGCACCTTAGCCACTTGAGCCACAGGCGCTGAGCCATTTACCGGTTTATTATAAAAGATTTTATAATACAGAGGACACAGATGAAGAGATGAAGGCAAGGTATGGAGATAGAAACTCAGACCTTTCACTCTTTCCTGGGCTTGGAACTTCCACTGTTCAGCTATTTAGAATCTCCAAATACCATAAATGTTTTACTCAGTATAGTCCCACTGCGATAGATGTCAATTTCATAGAACATTCATCTAACACCAAACTCAAAATTAGGGCACATTTGCAACATTTCATTCGTAATCTGTGTCTCAAACATTCTCCAGTTGCCTACTTCTTTAACTTAGGAGGGTTTTGTGTGTTTGTAGTCAAATATCCATAACATAAAATTGACATTTTAAACACCTCTGTCGCCCTGGGTAGAGTACCGTGGCCTAATAGATCACAGCAACCTCAAATTCTTGGGCTCAAGAGTTCCTCCTCTTGCCTCAGCATCCGGAGTATATGGGACTACAAGCGCCCACCACAACGTTTGGCTAATTTTTATTTATTTATTTATTTATTTATTTGTATTTTTAGTAAAGACCGAGGTCTCGTTCTTGTTCAGGCTTGTCTCCAATTCCTAAGCTTAAGCAATCCACTCGCCTCGGCCTCCCAAAGTCTTAGGATTACAGGCGTTAGCCACTGCGCAGTACCTTTAACCAGTTTTTTTGTTTGTTTTTGCAGTTTTTGGCCGGGGCTGGGTTTGAACCCGCCACCTCCGGCATATGGGACGGGCGCCCTACTCCTTTGAGCCACAGGCGCCGCCCCTGTTTGTTTGTTTGTTTGTTGAGACAGAGTCTCAAGCTGTTGCCCTGGGTAGAGTACCGTAGAGTCACAGCTCACAGCAACCTCCAACTCTAGGGCTTAGGCCTCAGCCTCCCAAGTAGCTGGGACTACAGCCGCGGGCCACAACGTCGAGCTGTTTTGTCATTGTTGTTTTAGGTGGCCAGGGCCGGGTTTGAACCCACTAGCCTCGGTGTATGTGGCCGGCGTCCTACCCTCTGAGCTATGGGCGCCGCCGTACATCTATTGTTTTTTCTTTCACTAATCTTAAGTGTATATAATTCAGTGGCGTTAGGGGCATTCAAGGCAGAATCAGTTCCTTTTCAGGCTCTGCATTTCCGTAGATGTCTTTTTCTGCTTCTCACACATATTATCCCAAAGTTTTTCACCAGTTTATTTAACGGTATATCCTAAAGATTAGGTGCAGTGATTATAGAAAAATAAAATTTCAGGCTTGGCGCCTGTAGCTCAGCGGCTAGGGCGCCAGCCACATACACTGGAGCTGGCGGGTGTGAATCCAGCTCAGACCTGTCAAACAACAATGACAACTACAAACGAAAAATAGCCGGGCGCCGTACGTACTTGGGAGGCTGAGGCAAGAGAATCGCTTAAGCCCAAGAGTTTGAGGTTGCTCTGAGTTGTGACGCCAGGGTGACAGAGTGAAACTCTGTCTCAAAAGAAAAAAAAGAAAAAGGCTCGGCGCCTATAGCTCAACCGGCTAAGGCGCCAGCCACGTACACCTAAGGTGGT